GAAGGAGATGCCTGAGCAGCTGGGAATCCATTTGGCTCAAAGTTCCCAGGAACATTTGAATCATTGAGGCCCAGCTCTTCTTCTGGTCTAGGCTGAGGGCCAATGACAGAGCCACCTTGGCCAATCTGTGTCAAAGCCCAGGAGAATTCTGATTACCTGGCAGAGAATGTTCTACGCTTAGATTTCCTTGTAGTGACAGGTGAGCTCTGGGTAGGCTTCACTACATCACCTAATTGGGTCTATGGGATGAAGTCTAAAGTCTGAGCCCCTCACCAAACTTTAAATTGCTTCTGGGATAGGGCCTGGCCCCAAAGCAACCTTCCCTTAAATTCTTGAGAGCATCATCATGGGACTTTATGGAGAGCCGTGTGCAGCATAGAGAAGAGGATGCTGGGTCCAGAAGCTGGGCATGGCTTGCCAGCCAGCCCTGTGTGCAATTTCCTCTGGGCTGGGGCTCTTGGCTGGGAGTCAGCCATTGTATCCTTGTCTCATGGAGCCCCACAGTCAGGCAAGGGCAGTGTGAGTAGCTGTAGCTGTGTGAGCTGTGGATGCAGTTTGGACTCCTCTACATCCAGGGTCATGTGAGACATCAGGGAGTTAGACAACAGTTTAAGAGCATGTGCTCATGTTAAAAGTGTGTATCCACATGTAGCTTGAGCAGCTCTGAGAGATATGGCCTGTGTGGCCTGCTTGGTTATGGCTTGGTAGCACCCAGATGGGCAGGTGATACCAGAGGCAGTCACTTCTAGCCTCTATAAACTGGCAGCCTTCCTACTCCACCAGTCCACCTGTCTGTGAGCAACAGATCCAGCCTAGACGGCAGTGCACATGGGGTAAGTGCTGGCCCATCTCTATGGCAACTCCTTACCAGATGGGAGGGAAGAAAAAGAGTAATGCAGAGAAGGCTGTACAGGGAGGGCCAGAGGATGGGCTGGGCTGGGGGACAGGACAGCTACTTCTCATGTTCTGCTGCTGTGGCAAAGGAGCAAACTTAGAATCAATGGAGGAAGGGAGAAGTTAGAAAAATGCAAATATCAGGTCCCTGAAGAACTCTTTACAGCCCAGGCTTCCTGACAACAACACTGGAGTCCATGAGCCTCCCTGTTCTTTAGACTATTCAAGCAGAGGCAGAGAAATCACTTCCTGAGAAGAGGATCCCTGTATCAGGTGGGTTAGAGGAGTGGAATGTACTGGTTTATATCTAAAGATTCTGCCAAGCCTCAAATTCCGCACTCGCTGATACTAAAGGAGCTTTCTGTAAAAATAATTCCTCATCCCTTAGTTCCTGATAACCCAAGATCACCTCTTTAGGACCTTGTATCACTACCAGTTAGAAGAAAGAACCCCATCTTCAGGGCCACATGCAATTTATAAACCTCTCTCCTGACCTCCTTTTCTCCACCTTGAAACTGAGAGGCCAGCAATTCCCAAGACTGGTGTTTATCAGAAATACACAGGGAGTATTTACTTAAATAAGCAGAACAAAGTAAAACTGATCTCCAAGACTACCTGCAAAGACAGGACCCATCACTCTGTAGTTTTAATCAGCACTTCGGTAACAATTAGATAGCCAGCTCCATGCTGTTTTGGACACCCTGTAGCAAGACCTGATGACATCTGGTGTTCCTAAACTTTTTGACAGTAAACTGTGATGATCTACAGTGTGGCTTTTGATATTCTGGGAAGCTGAGTAGATTTACGTGTGTGATGTCTGCAAAGCACATAAATGGCACTGGATGGCATGTTACTCAAGGTCCCCCTCCACACAGGCTGGCGATGTGAATTATGAGTGGGCTCTGACCATCAGGTAATGAGTTTATTCCTTGGGCCAATCCCAGAGCAGCAGAGGTGCAGACAGGTCAGGTGTGGTTACAGGAGGCGACTCACAAGGCCTTCTTCGCATCAGATTTCTGGAGATTTTCTGGGCATTCCATGTTATATGCTCTAGAAATTCAATTGGTCAGATTATCCAGAGAAGAAGGGTAAGATAAGATTAACTGATTAACACTAACTAAACTCACAAATACTAAGGGTAAACCAGATACTGTATAAGAAAACTGTTAAAGAGATAAGAAACTATGTTTTCAAGCCAGCACATTCTGTCCCTGTAAGATTATCTGTGTGGGAAGTCAAATTATAACAGAAACCTGGCAGGCATGGAGGAACCAGATCCAGAAGAATGAGCCATGTGACCTCAAATGGCCAGGATCATTGAGCTGTAACAGCCTGAGGTCCCCAATTATATGACAGAGACAGAGTTATTCAGAGGTCCCTGCTTGCCTGTAAAGTGCTAAGACATAGCATATATGGGCAGAAGATTTTGCTTTAGGTATATTAATGTCCTTTGTTAGGCAGAAAAATCCTTCATTTTATTAAGTTTCATTAGATTCCTAGGGTCTGCTCTTCATGATTTTGGCTGATACACAGCCTGGCTTTAGATAACTTGGTTTTTTTAGTTTTTAGTTTTTGTTTTTTTGTTTTTAATTAATTAATTTATTTTGTTGTCATTAATCTGCAATTACATGAAGAATATTATGTTTACTAGGGTCCCCCCTTCACCAAATCCCCCCCACATACCCCATTACAGTACTGTCCATCAGTGTAGTAAGATGCTGTAGAATCACTACTTGTCTTCTCTGTGTTGCACAGCCCTCCCCGTGCCTCCTCCCCCACATTATACATACTAATCATAATGCCCCCTTTCTTTTTCCCCACCCTTATCCCTCCCTTCCCTCCCTTTCTCCCCAGTCCCTTTCCCTTTGGTAACTGTTAGGCCATTCTTAGGTTCTATGATTCCGCTGCTGTTTTGTTCCTTCAGTCTTTCTTTGTTCCTATAGTCTTTGGGTTTGAGGTGAGTCTCTTGTAAGCAGCATAGAGATGGATCTTGCTTTTTGATCCATTCTATTATTCTGTGTCTTTTGATTGGTGCATTCAGTCCATTTACATTTAGGGTGATTATTGAAAGATATGTCCTTATTGCCATTGCAGGCTTTAGATTCATGGTTGCCAAAGGTTCAAGGTTAGCTTCTTTAGTATCTTACTGTCTAACTTAACTCGCTTATTGAGCTATTTTAAACACTGTCTGGTCATTCTTTATTTTTCTCCCTTCTTATTCCTCCTCCTCCATTCTTTATATGTTGGTTGTTTTATTCTGTGCTCTTTTGTGCTTCCTTTAACTGCTTTTGTGGGTAGTGTAGTTGATTTTATTTTTTGCCTTTAGTTAATATTTGGTTGGTCTGTTTTCTTTGCTGTGATTTTATTTTCTCTGGTGACATCTATTTAGTCTTAGGAGTGCTCCCATCTAGAGCAGTCTCTCTAAAATACCCTGTAGAGGTGGTTTGTGGGAGACAAATTCCTTCAACTTTTGCTTGTCTGGGAATTATTTAATCCATCCTTCATATTTAAATGATAGTCGTGCTGGATACAGTATTCTTGGTTCAAGGCCCTTCTGTTTCATTGCATTAAATATATCATGCCATTCTCTTCTGGCCTGTAAGGTTTCTGTTGAGAAGTCTGATGATAGCCTGATGGGTTTTCCTTTGTAGGTGACCTTTTTCCTCTCTCTAGCTGCCTTTAAAACTCTGTCCTTATCCTTGAGCTTTGCCATTTTAATTAATATGTGTCTTGTTGTTGCCCTTCTTGGGTCCTTTCTGTTGGGAGTTCTGTACACTTCCATGGTCTGATTGGTTATTTCCTCCTCCAGTTTGGGGAAGTTTTCAGCAATTATTTCTTCAAATACACTTTCTATCCCTTTCTCTCTCTTCTTCTTCTTCTGGTACCCCTATAATGCGGATATTGTTCCTTTTGGATTGGTCACACAGTTCTCTTAATATTGTTTCATTCCTGGAGATTCTTTTATCTCTCTCATCCCTTAGCTCTTGCATATTTCTCTGCAGCCCCATCAGCATGGTTATGAGCTTTATTTTTAATTCTTTTTCAGGAAGACTGGTTAGGTCTATCTCCTTCTTAGGGTTTGCCTCTGTGATCTTGGTCTATATCAATTTCTTCTGCCTTTTCATGGCAATAGATATATTTGTGGGGAGCTGGCGCATGTTAGGTAAGAGAAAGTCCCTTCTTGCCAGTTTGTGGCCTTCCTCTCCTGGGAGAACAGCAGCCTCTAGCAGCTTGTGCTGGGCAGCTGGGTGCAGATGGGGCTTCTGATCTTGCCCGGCTGCTATGGAGTTTATTTAGCTCTGCAGTTGCTGTGGGCGTGACCTGCCTCAGGCTGCTTCTCCAATATGACGGAGCCACGTTGGAGGGGGAACAGGTGGGAGGCTGTTTATCACAGTGAGGGGCCTCCGAGCTGTGCTGCGGGAGTTCGGGTACCCAGAGTTCCCCAGGATTCCCTGCTGCTGGGCTAGGTTTCCCGGGGCACTTCCATCCAGCTGTGGGATCCCTGTCCCTTTAAGACTTTCAAAAAGCACTCGCTTTTCTTTGTCCCTGGTGTGCCAGCTGTGGGGACCTACTCACAGGTCTTACTGTCTTGTTTCCCTAGTTTCCAGCACCCCACATACGCACTGTGTGTCTATGCTCTGGTGTGGATGGCTGTGGATGGCTATTTAGCAGTCTTGGGCTCCCTCTCCCTCCCCACTCTGACTCCTCACCTCCCGCCGGGAGCTGCGGTGAGAGACGCTCAGGTCCCACTGGGCCACGGCTTGTATCTTACCCCCTTCATGAGGTGCTGGGTTCTTGCAGGTGTGGATGTAGTCTGGCAGTTGTCCTGTGTCTTCTGGTCTCTCTTTTAGGGAGAGTTGTATTTGTTGTATTTTCAAAAATGTATGTGGTTTTGGGAGGATATTTCCACTGCTCTACTCACGCTGCCATCTTGGTTCTCTCTCCCTAGATAACTTGGTTTTATAGTTGAATGCCACAGGGTAAGTTTCTTCACAATTTTAGGGACATCATACTGTGATTCCCATGTACCAACCCAAGCAAGGCAACAAAAAGCAAACACGTACTTTATGCCTTCACTATTCTAGGGGAGTAAGAGAGAGTTTGACATGGGAACACACAACCAATCTGCTGTGACAGAATTTGTCCTGCTGGGCCTCTCTGCCCACCCAAAGCTGGAGAAAACATTCTTTGTGCTCATCCTGCTGATGTACCTGGTGATCCTGCTGGGCAACGGGGTCCTCATCCTGGTGACCATCCTTGACTCGCGCCTGCACACGCCCATGTACTTCTTCCTGGGGAACCTCTCCTTCCTGGACATCTGCTACACAACGTCTTCTATCCCTCTAGTCCTGGACGGCTTCCTCACTCCCAGAAAAACCATCTCTTTCTCAGGCTGTGCCGTGCAGATGTTCCTCTCCTTTGCCATGGGAGCCACAGAGTGTGTGCTTCTGGGCATGATGGCATTTGATCGCTACGTGGCCATCTGCAACCCCCTGAGGTACCCTGTGGTCATGAGCAAGGCTGCCTACATGCCCATGGCTGCTGGCTCCTGGGTGGCTGGTGGAGCCAACTCCCTGGTGCAGATCTCTCTTGCAGTACAACTACCCTTCTGTGGGGACAATGTCATCAACCACTTCACCTGTGAGATCCTGGCTGTCCTCAAGTTGGCCTGTGCTGACATCTCCACCAATGTGATCAGCATGGTTGTGGCCAATGTGATCTTCCTGGGGGTCCCAGTTCTGTTCATCCTCATCTCCTATATCTTCATCCTCACCACAATCCTGAGGATCCCGTCAGCTGAGGGGAGGAAAAAGGCCTTCTCCACCTGCTCAGCCCACCTCACTGTGGTGGTCGTCTTCTATGGGACCATCCTCTTCATGTATGGAAAGCCCAAATCCAAGGACCCCCGGGGGGCAGACAAGCAGGACCTTTCTGACAAGCTCATCTCCCTCTTCTATGGGGTGCTGATCCCCATGCTGAACCCCATCATCTACAGCCTGAGGAACAAGGATGTGAGGGTTTCTGTGAAGAACCTGGTGAGTCAGAAATGCCTCAGTCAGTGCTGATGGGATATGTCTTGGGACCCACACATTCTGATCCATATGAGAATCTCAATGCAAAGTAGTGCTAGGTGAGGGGTGAACTGAGTTTAGAGTCCTGCCACTCACAGGGTGGTAGAGGGGCCAGCCGTGTCAGCATGACCTGAGAGCTTGTTAGATATAAAGAATTTGGGGGCCCACTTTAGACCTACTGAATTGGAGTCTATTTTAACAGGCGCTCCCAGGTGAGTCACATGCATATTAAACTGAGATGTATTTGTTAGAATATCATGGACACTGTGGTGGATGTGCTGACCACACCCCACCCTCACCCAACCTAGGGCCTGTTACTGGGAGTGCTGGTGGCTGCCAGCCCTTGGCTGAGTCCCTCTGCTGGCTTATCCTTGGCCCAAGAACATTATGTCACCCAAAGTCACATTCCCTTCTCAGAGGCAGCCCATGTCCAGTGACTAGTCAGTGTCAATATAAAGGCCTGGTTCTCCTTGTTTCAAATGGGGATATCTCTAAAGGGCCATCCCAACTTGAGAGCATTCCCATGGCAGTTCATGTGCTCCCTCTGCCCAGTCTTGAGCAACCATCAATCTTAGCACTGATGCCTAAGCTGTGCGTGCATGTCCCTGGTGTGTGTCCCTCTCAGGGGTTTCCTGTATCCTGACTCCCAAGAAAAATAAACCACCAAATTCCTTTTGTTCAAATAAAAATTATTCTTTAAGTTAAATTCCTCTACTTTCCCCTTCTATAAGTGGATATGAATTTGTATTTACTGTATAAGTGTCATTACTCCTAAGCAGAGAGTCAGCAGGGCTGTTTTACTCCATAGGCATAAGGGTACATAGTCAGGCTAGGGGGTTTCTTTCAAGGAGAAAGATGTTTGAGGTGGAAAACATATGGGCTCTAAACTATAACAAAACAAAACAAAAAACCTTTTAAAAATCTTAATAATTCTTTACTTACATATCTACAAAAGGAAACATTATGTGAACCTCAGTAATGGATATGTTTTGTAGTTATGCATCTTATTTTAAAATACTCTGTAGTGCAAAGGACACCATCAATAGAACAAAAAGGTATCCTACAGTATGGGAGAATATATTCTTAAATGACAGATCTGATAAAGGGTTGACATCCAAAATATATAAAGAGCTCACACATCTCAACAAACAAAATGCAAATAATCCATTAAAAAATGGGCAGAGGAGCTGAATAGACAGTTCTCTACAGAAGAAATTCAGATGGCCAACAGACACATGAAAAGGTGCTCCACATCGCTTGTCATTAGAGAAATGCAAATTAAAACCACAATGAGCTATCATCTCACACCAGTAAGGATGGCTACCATCCAAAAGACAAACAACAACAAATGTTGGCGAGGTTGTGGAGAAAGGGGTACCCTCCTACACTGCTGATGGGAATGTAAATTAGTTCAACCATTGTGGAAAGCAGTATGGAGGTTCCTCAAAATGCTCAAAATAGAAATTCCATTTGACCCAGGAATTCCACTTCTAGGAATTTACCCTAAGAATGCAGCACTCCAGTTTGAAAAAGACAGATGCACCCTATGTTTATTGCTGCACTATTTACAATAGCCAAGATATGGAAGCAACCTAAATGTTCATCAGTAGATGAATGGATAAAGAAGATGTGGTACATATACACAATAGAATATTACTCAGCCATAAGAAAAAAACAAATCCTACCATTCGCAACAACATGGATGAAGCTAGAGGGTATTATGTTCAGTGAAATAAGCCAGGTGGAGAAAGACAAGTACCAAATGATTTCACTCATATGTGGAGTATAAGAACAAGAGAAAACTGAAGGAACAAAACAGCAGCAGAATCACAGAACCCAAGAATGGACTAATAGTTACCAAAGGGAAAGGGACTGGGGAGGATGGGTTGGAAGGGAGGGAGGGATAAGGGTGGGAAAAAAAAGAAAGGGGGCATTACGATTAGCATGTATAGTGTGGGGAGGCATGGGGAGGGCTGTGCAACACAGAGAAGACAAGTAGTGATTTTACAGCATCTTACTATGTTGATGGACAGTGACTGTGAACAGGGATGTGGGGGGGACTTGGTGAAGGGGGGAGCCTAGTAAACATAATGTCCTTCATGTAATTGTAGATTAATGATACCAAAATAAAATTTAAAAAATAAATAAATAAATAAAAATAAAATAAAATAAAATACTCTGTAGTTAGGCACTTTCACTTTGGAAGAACTCCTTCATTTTCATGCTTATTGTTGAAAAATCATAGAATTATAAATTGAATCACTTAGAAGCCAAATAATTTCCATAACATAAGTAAGGAAACTCAATTCAAATTTACCACAAAATTTACATAAGTGGGGTGTAGGTGCATTTTGACATGGAGTGGGAACTCTGAGAGAGACAGTGCCCTAGCCTGGGACAGTCTTGAGATGGGCCTCACAGTTCCAGATAACTTGTCTGCAGAGCTTAAAAATGCAGTGAGCACACAAGTGCCTCTCCCCAGTTACCTTTCAACTCTCTCTTGCCCCCACCCCACCCGTGTGCTCAGAGAGGTGTGTCCAGGTGGCCGGTAGACTTCCACAGAGGGGCTGTCAGGGAGCAGATGCGTGAAGCTTTTCCCTAAGAGAAAATCCCAAACATGTCAGCCTCTACCTGACCCTGAGGTAGTCTGTGGGCTGTTGAGGTTCCCAGCCAGGTGACCCAGGGCTCGTTTTCCTTAGCCTACATGAAAATGACAGAAGCATCCATGGAGAGGGTGGAACCCACACTCTATGGCAAGAACTCAGTGCATTTCTCCTGGGGTAACATGGACCATGAGGCCTGAAGATGAGGGGGGTCCACAGAGAGCTCTGATACCAACTTCCGTCTTCTTACCAAGTAAGAATAAGTACCCAGGGTCTTTTTATAGTAAATTATCCACACTTCTCTTTAAGATCAGTCCTTATCAGTTGCTTTTGATAGAGATTAGGCTTCAACCCAAGGCCCCTCACCTACTCCCTGCCTTCCCCTTACCACTTCTAAGGGGAACTTCCCATCCTCAGGCCACGCTAAGCAGGCACGGCCATGCTCCATCCTAGCTACCTGGCTCTCACCTCCCTAACTCCAGCTGAGCTTCCTTGCCACCAAAGAGCTCTTACTAAACAGAAGCTTTTAGCAAAATGCTAGTTACCTGCCTGGCCTATGACATCAAAACTGCTTCTATGGCTTGACCCTGTTGCTCTCTCAGCAGGCCCAGCCCTCTCTCCTGCCCTCATGTCCTTGACTTCAATCTGGAATTCTCATTCCTTACTGTGCTACAGCAGTGGGAGGGCAAGGTCCAACATCTCTGGCAAACAGAGTCACTTCCTAGTTGGGACCAAGCTGATCAGACTCTGTCCTCCGACTCTTCCCTGTCCTGGGCTCCCACAAAATTTAGGGGCATTTGGCAATTGAGGTGTCCCTGTAGCTGTCACTGAAAGCTTTCTGGGAATCAGACGCTGAACACTTGTCATTTCACTCTCTTTCTAGTGCCTGGTGGTGACCTACAGTACATGTCTCTTGCTTCTGGTTTTTGAGGGCAGGGGCCAGACCTGGTCAGCTCTGGACAAGTGCTGAGGGACTGCAGCGAGGGCCAGCTGCTCTGGAGCATGTGGATGACCAGTATGTCCATTGGGGCCAAGGCAAACCTTCCACCTCTTGTTTTGCCACGCAGCCTGGCAAAGACAAGCACAGAGCCCCTTCTAACAGATACCACCATGGTCAAACCATAGTCAGACCTTAGTTATCTCTACTTCCAGGAAGGTCAGCAAAGACAGGGTGGAACTCTCTAATTCAAGGAACATTTCTTTGCAGTAAGAGTTAAGATTTACACAGAGCTGTCTGCAACTTACCTAATAGGGTTTATGGGACACAGGCCCTAAACTCTTGTGGGACCTCCACCAAACTTTAAATTGCTTCTGGGATTTAAACTGGCCCCAAACAACCAGAGTTCTAAATCGCTCCATGGCTCCTTGACAGAACCTCCAAGAGGGCCAAGAGCAGATGGTTGTCCTGAGCATACAGGCTGGGCAAAACTGCAGCTCCTCAAGTTAGCCTCCTCTCGTCATCTCACTGGGCATGGAGAAGGCCAGGAATGGGAGCAACTAAAGCCCCTTCAGCTATGGCCACCCCTAAATTTTTTTACCTTGCTGTGACATGCAAAGGGACTGCTGAGCTCTGAGACAGCTAAACAGACTTTGCTGCACACTTCCAGGCACAGCCTTGACAGACAGGACTAGACCAGGGACGGTCAAGGTGGACAGTTGATGCGACCACCTCCAAAGCCTACTGGCCCTCTAGCATCCTCTCCCCATGAGACCTAGACCTTCTGTCAGGTGAGCTCCTGATCCCACACAGCCCTGTCAGCCTTATCGGCACCCTGGACACAGATTGAGTTCTCTCTGTGGCCAAGCCTTCTTCAGGTAGGTGGGGAGAGGAGAAAAAGTAATTATGAGTGGGTCCTGGTCACAGCTTCCATGGCTCTAAAGGGCTTTTATAGGGGAGGGAGCAGGCATGTCCTGGGTGCCTAGACCAGCGTGCTAGCAGGGCGGGGGCGAGGGTGGGGATGACCTGCCAAGAAGGAAGTTTCTGCTCAATATGAGAAAACTTTCCAACAACCAAGGCTGTCTGACAAAGAAATGGGAGTTGTACACTCATATAGCTCAAGATACTCAGAGCAAAAATGGGAAAATTGTGTTTCAGAGGAGGGGAAAGAGGCAAGACCAATTATTTTATAATATTCCTGCCAAGGCTGAGATTCTCCAGTCAACAGTATTAAATTCTCTAAACGCAGGTCTCTTTACCCACATAGTCCCAATGTCCTCAGTTAATCTCTGATAACTGCATGAGAAGAGCTTCAGATTCTGCCAGGTTTCTTCCACCCAACTTTCCCCAACAGGCAACAGTGTAATAGTAACAGATGTGATGTGTGAAGCACAGGGACACCCCCACCCACCCAAGCTCTGCTACAAGGCAGATATCTTGGAGAAAAATGTGAC